AAAGACACTCACTGCAGTGAATTTGGTTTTGCTTGTTGGTTGGTTTACACTGTTAGGAGAGGTCAGTAGTTTGAATCCCCCTGAGGGGGTTCTCTGCAGGAGAAAGTTGGGGCAGTGGGTTTCTGTATAGGTGACAATCTTGGAGACCCCCGGGTCAGTCCTCCTCTGTCCCATCGCATACCTGAGAGTCGCGTACCTGAGAGTCGGGGATCGCTCCGGGGCACACAGCCACAACAATAGCAATGTAATCATATGCACAACTAAAAGTGTGCTTTACAGAGCAGCCCTGTGACTCTTGCTACTCATGGTTTTCACCCTGAGGTGGCCTGCAGGAGCGTAGTAACTCCTCCGAGATGGGCAGGGGCTCTGCAGCCCAGCATTGGCCATCTGGCCGTGGGAAAACAGGCTGCCCGTATTGGGCATGAACAGGAGCTTGCGGTTTAATGAACAGGGAAGACCCTGGGTCATGAGCATTAGAAATAACGTAGCTACAGTCATTTATTTTTCTTGTTCACCGGCTGCCATCTGTCTAATCCTTGTTGGGCAAGCTCTTTGGACAGTCAAACAGTAGGCAGGGATTCCTCACAGCCTGCAGGGTGCAGGGCTGCCCCTGGCTGTTGATGGCTGAGCTTGAGGGATAAACCCTCAACGGGGTTAGGCAGAGGGCAAGCTCAGACCAAACCCACGTCCCAGAAGTCAATTCCAACTCACGGAGACCCGTCAGACAGACAGAACTGCCCCGTGGGTTTCCAAGGCTGCAGACCCTGACAAGAGCCAAGGCCTCATCGTTCCCCTGGGGCGACACTGGTGGCTTCAAACCCCTGATCTTGTGGTTAGAAGCCAAGTGCTTAAGCACAGTGTCACCAGCGCTTCTCAAGCAGGGGCGGCGCATTAAAAACCCACAGGGGGACCAGCAGCGAGGCTTTTAACGGCCCATGTTGTGCACACCTGCTCGGCTGGGGCCTCACAGATTCGGGAGTCCGCCGGAGGGCAGCCCTGTGAAGCAGCATCCCATCAAGTCACATCCCAGCAGGACCCTGGCCAAGAGGCCACCCGGTTCCAGATGGGGACCATGCCCCCTTATCTCCCACCTGGTCTCTGCAGAGCGGGATCCTTCCCATAAGCCCCTCAGAGGTGCTCTTTGTCGTGGGGTGGGTAGTCCACTGCTTGTTCTGTTTTCAGCACTGCAGCCCCCGGCCGAGGTCATAAAGGGCTGGTGTTCACCCTGGAGTCCCCTGCCCCTGCCCTCAGCTCATTGCAGACGTTTGTAACTCACCCTCCAAGGCTCTACTCACGTGTCACCCCCTGTTGGTGCCAAAGAAACCCTGGGTGGACGTCCCACCGAGCAGTGGTACAGGGACGCACAGCTGAGCGGCTCTAAGGAAGGGACACTTGGCCCATCTCGGTGCTGCAGGCCAGGAGCCTGTCAGCGGGGCCTGGACAGGCCCACTCCTTCCTGGCTGATGAGCGTTGCTGTCTCCGGCCTCTGCCCTGACTGGTAGCGGCACACAGGTCCTTGTCAACAGCCCTGGGCATTTGCCGGTTCCACGGTGTGCTTGGCTTTCAGAGGGACCTCACACAGCATCTGTCGTCCCATGTGTCTGCTTGTATGTGATGAGGAGTAGGACCCACCCTGCACAGGTGTGACCAAAACCTATTGGTTGGTTCCAGTGCCTTGCATTCCATTGTGGAAGGCGATGACGTTACGCTGCACTGTGTTGTACTGGGTTATTTTATACTGCATTGCATTACATTGCATTGTGGAAGATAATTATATTATATTGAGCTACATTACATGATGAGAGGTGATTATG